AGGGGATGGGGGCTGGCAGGGGTCCCCCTATGGTTCCTTCCCCTCACCCCTGCCCCCTACTTACCAGCTCCGAGTCTGGCTGCAGCTCCCTGCTGCAGCCACCTGGGACTGCCCAAGTCATCAAAGTTCTCCTAATTCTTTCCGAAGATTCGGAGGGCTTTGAATTGATTCAGACCTTTTAATTGGTCCCCTGATTCAATTCAGATTTGGAGATTCAGCCTCTGAATCAGCCTGAATCTCCTCCGAATTGAATCACCACCTGAAGCTTCACACAGCCCTATTAACATGCTTTATATAGTCTCCTACAACAGGTTTGGGAAAGTGTTCACATAAAAATCAAACAGAATAAATAAATTAGTAATTCTATTCATAGTTCAAACCTTCAGAATTGATTAGAACTTCCGTTTTATGGTTGAAGATGGAGTATGTCCAGGAATTGGAAAGCCAAGAGAGGTAGTTAGCTATGCTAGCCTGAAGTCAGGCAGAAGGCAGGGTAGATGAGCACCAGTCTGAAAGCTGGATAGTGGGTGACTACCAGAATAGTTAATTTTTTTTATGAGAGTCTGTTATCAACCCACCTGGGATAGAAAATCCCCAGCTGGAGAAGAGGAGCTGGAAGAGAGAAATGAGGTGGAAGAGTGAAAGTCCAGAGTTCAGCCTGTCCAGTGAACACCCTGCAGAACTCTGAGCACTGCTGAACTCACCAAGGATATGAACTGCATCCAGAGGCTTGGTTGTATTGGAGTGATGTTGTAGAAGCCATAGTCCAGGAAATATGCCAAGCAAGGATCTTTGTGCATGTTATATTTTATTGGACCAGTTGCATGGTTGGGAAAGACTTGAACAAGCTTTCAAATGCAGTGCATTCTTCTTTAGGGGTATCATATTTTCCATGAAACAGGGATGTAATGAAAATGTTTGATCATCCCCAACTTAGCAGTAGTTTAGCTAGGCTGAATACCAAGAGCAGGGCAACAGTAGTGGCATGCACTTCAGGACAGGCTGGCTACTTGCACAAGTAACAAGTGTCCTTGATACACTTGTTCAGCCCATGAAGAAGCCCATGCAGTAAAAGCTTCTGCTCTTGGCCCCTGGGCTGGCAGGAATACAGCTGCCTGGGTAGGCCTATGCCTGCTGTGATCACACCTCTACTAGCAATTTAAACATAACCAAATTTTGTTTCAGGCAGCTAAACTTGATTGACTTTGCTAACTTCTTGGATCTCAGCTGAGGAATAATCATTTCTGATTACTTGACAGAGTCCCATCATTAGAGCTTTTCCTATGTAACCATTTACAACCCCAGGTGATGGCACCCTGCTTACCGTGAACCTCCAAAGCCCCCCAAGGTCATCGCTTTTCTCAAAGCATGTGGGCTCGAGCCCCTCTTCCAGACAGGACTTAATGGAGGCCAGTCCACTGACACCAGCTCCAACAATTGCCACTGTCTTTACCATGGTCTCCTGTATCAGAGAAGGACAGAAATAACAGCAGAGGTAAGCTGAGCAATGTGGTGCAGCATTTTACACCAATTTTCTTTCTTATTGGAATACTGGTGCCTTCAGGAACCTAGGGTTCTGTGGAGCTCACATCCCCGCTCAACTGCTGCAGCACCACTTGGGGTAACAAACACTAGTTTGGGAAGAACTGGCTTAGATGGTGCCTGGTGGATAGAACTAGCTTGGAAAAGGGAGTGACGAGTTTCAGTCCTGGCTCCAGGGACTATTTCTCTATCTTATGAGTAATCAATTCATTGGATAAACTGTACATCTGGCTCTGAACTCCACTTAAGGGGTCAGGCATGTAAGTCCAACATTGGCTCCAGCCCCAAGTCTGACTTCTGGCACAAACATTCAGCTGAGAATATCACTTGGGTATTCCTTTATTATGCCCCATACCTTGTGGGTGAACTCTGATGCGGCTTAAACCTCCAGCCACTGGAACTCCTTATGCCTTTGCTGGATGAAAGGGCCTTCTGCTATCAGGTATCTTTTCCCTGTGCAGGTAATTAGAGACTGCAGCCAAGTGGCTTAAGATTCTTTTTGATAGACTATGTACATTGGAGCCTCTTGGTCTACCACAGGAAGGCTTGTTTAAGACATCTCAAATCAATCTTATGGCTCTTTTATGAAAACTTTTTCTTACATTTTTTAAGTATCTATCTCAAAACTGAAGCCCCACCAGTACCATTTGCAGAAGTGTTATCTCCCAGATAAGACAGATGAGCTGCAGCCAAGGATTTTAATCATATCATTCCAACCTTATTTATCCACACCATTCCAAGGAGAAATCATACCCAGTTAGAGCAAGCAAAACAGAATATGCATTTGTAGCTGAGGGATGAGGCTTCTGTAGGAGAATCATCCTCCACAGTTCCAAGGACATTTTGGTAACTGTGTGATACCTTTCAGGGTGCTGTCTCCCAGGATATTACTGGTTTTTCAATCAAAACATGTATGTTATTAAAGAGATGGTTGTCCTGTTTGATTTGACAGCCTGCAATAAATCCTCACAAGAGCCTCACCTTGCACTTGCTCGGTGAGAGAATGAATCCATAACTGCTCCAGAGCCTGTGATTCCAACCTCTGGTTAATGACTCTTAAACAGATAAGGAAATTGGTAGCAGGCAATGATGCACTGCCTCTGCTTCACGTACTAGGTTACAGCCCATGATTTTAACATTCCCTCATATGAATCTTCCCACCTGGTTTCAGTGTTATATCAAATTACTTTCTCATATTTCTAGTTCCTCTTGTTACCATATCCTAGCTCTGGCATATTAACAGTTGAAGAATTTCTCATCGCATTCCTAGTTCATTACATTCATGACATCTTTAAGTACAGGTTTCACAGCCAAATGTTCTTTCTATATTTACTTGCTGAAAACCTTGAGCTTTGGAGCTTGTTTATCTCCTTTCCAACTAGGCTGCTCAGTCTGACACCCAGAGCAATAGTTCATCTACTACAGATGGAGTCCCAAAAGGCCTTGTCTTTTGTATACCTCTTTGCTAGCCAACAACTGAATTCCAATGTCTTCCATTGTCTGACTTCCCTTGTTTATGGGAAACAATAATCCTCTAACAGAAGGGCAGGCAAAACATGGGCCGCAGGCCAGATGCCAACCGACTGTATCCAGCCCACAGGCTGTGCACTAATGGGATCTAGCCCATAGGCGACTGGCGGCTCCAGCCACTGCATAGTTCTGGGTGGGTGGGGCTGTTTCCACCTCACTGGGTGGATGGGTGGGACTGCTTCTATTCAGCACTGACATGGCAGCATCACCTGGGGACCCAGGCAGATGCCCTGATCCCCACCCAGAACCTGCCAGCTGCATCCACAGCTGATGCCAGTGCTCACCTGGGTGCTGGTGTAAGCTGAGGATGCAGCCAGCAGTTTGCAGGTGGGATGGGGATCAGGGAGTGCTACAGCTCTGGGTGGGGTGGTGATCAGGTATGGCTAAGCTTTGAGTTGGGTAGGGATTTGGGCATGCTGCAGCTTTGGGCAGGGTGGGGTTGTGGGGAGGTGGGGGGAGAGAAAGAGAGAGAGAGAAAGAAAATTGTGGCCATCAAAAGGACACCAAAACTCATTAAGTGGTCCACAGCCAAAATAATTGCACACCCCTGCTCTAACACTACCTGGACTTTCATTTCCTTCTTTTCAAGGTTATTCCTGAAATTTTCAGTAGCCTCAGTGTCATTTGAAGCTGTTACCACCAGCTGAGTCTTACCAGCTCCATCAGAATCCAATCTGACTTTGCTGTTATGATTAGGGACCTACCAAAATTGTGATTTCAAGGAAATTACGAAATCCAGCATTATCTACAAAACTGAAAAAAAAAGAAAAGAAAACTTACTGAAAAAAAATTGCTACTCTTCCGAGATAACCAGCAGTCCTCATGGAGTTGTGGCCCAGCTGCATAGCCTTCTGGGGGGGAAGCAGGGCTACTGGCATGAAGGGGAGCCCAAGATGGCTGCTGCCCCCATCCCTTGCTGTTGATTGGCTGAGAGGCTGCCTTTGATAGCTACCTTCCTATCCCCAGCCTGATCTAGTGTGGGGGATGGGAACTCAGCCCAGCTAGACTGACTTCCAATCCCCAGCTCGATCGTAGTGCTTGGGAGGGGTAGTGAGCCTGGGCTCAGTTCCCTTCCCCTGCGCTGTGATCAGCTTCCCGCAGCCCGGTGGCGGGAGACGGGGAGAGCCAAAGCTGTGCTCCCAGCACAGCCCTGTCTCCCCTGTCTCCCACCACTTCACTGCTGGCTTTGAAACACGAAACATTTCAAAACTTTCGAAACATTTCAACTAGCCTCGTTTTGTTTCAAGGCTGTTTCAAAGCCATTCATTTTGATTCAATTTCATTGTTTCAAGCTTGAAATGAGTCGAAACAATGTTGAATTGAAACAGCCGGTGAAATTTCACACTGCCCTATTCACTATTCAAGTAGTTTATAAAACTAAACCCAGCTGGGTCAGGACCACAATTTCATTAAACTGGGCAGTACAACCTCTCACACAGAGCAATCAGAACTCACAGCCTGGAAGCCCTTTTAAAGGCACCTATAGAGATGCACCAAACTCATAGTTGTGTGTGGTAGAAAGGGTCAAATCTTTTTGTCAAAAAGATTTTTTCTTTGAAAAATGGGCCTGAAAATAATTTTCCTCCAGAAAATAGAGTTTGTGTTAATAGTATCATGTTTTGATAAAAAGCTGAATTTTTTGGCTTCCCATGTTTTCAGTTTTTCAAAGTGAACTGTATATAGGCAGTCCTTGCACTTATGGTGGGTTACGTTCCTGGAACAGGCACTGTAAGTCGAAACAATGTAAGTCGAATCTGATTTTCCCATAGAAACAATGTTATAATAGAGGGTTATGTTCCTGACCAAGGGCCTGATGCCCAACTTTTTATAGAAATGACCATAAACACCATATTTAAATCAACTATTTAAGCAACTATAAATGATATACACTGTACACTACAAAGCTTTTTAAAGTGTTATGTACATAAATTGATTAAACAGGGCAATACAGTAACTAATCACATACAATTTTGTTTAATCAGAAGGTGAAGGAACACCTTCATCAGGGTCATGGAATCCAGAAGGGCTTCTTTGGGGAGATTTTGGGGAGACTTAGGGCCACTTGATGGCTTTTTGAGAAACGGATCCAGGGATGTTTGTTTTGCTGCCCTCTTTTTCACATTGTAAATTTCCCAGTAGTGCCATAAGTGTGAGGATCCAGTGCCATAAGTAATAACATGGGTGTAAATGGCACTATCTCTACTGCTCAGTTTCTTGCTTCACATTATAGAATCTGCACTCACTCCTCATAAAAAATTTCCTATTCCACCTGCTCTTCTGTGCAGTAGCAGAACTTTTCTGAACTGTAATGACATATTTGTTGCATGCATTGGTATCTGTTAAATTCCAACAGCTGCCTAGAATGAAACTCATTACAGCCATGTCGAAATTGAAAAAAGGTAGCGTAAAGAAAGTCGCGGCATTCAAAGTCTCAGTTGCATTTGGGCTTGTAATGCAATAGCTGTTCAGTTGCACATGAAAAAGACAAAAAACCACACACTACATATACTAATTAATAACGTATGTTAATGGACTGTGTCCTTAATAAGTGCCACAGCTTCACACGTGATGCTAAATACACAGGTTTATTTATTTCCTTTCTTTTCCCTTACCTCCAAGCCCTGTGAATCGAATCCGCTGCGTCTTCAAAGTGTTTTCCACGAGCTTTGGAAAGGTCCACTTGCTGTTATTCTATTTATAAAATATTTAAGGGATATTTGGGCAGAGGTAAAGTGGTGTGGGAGGGAACAGTTCTCTTCAAGAGGAAACAGATTATTTTCCTAGGTAGTTATGCAAGTGAGACTTGTTGACATGGTAAAGAGCAAAGTTCTTGGTTCAAGTTATCTGATATTTATACTTTCCTCTCAAAGTGGCCGAGATTTGTGAAATCTGAGCTATGGGACTGGATAGAAACAACAGACAGTAAAATACAGAGACTGTATAATGGTGGGTGGTAGAAATAATTAAAAAGTTGTCTAATCTGAGTAGAAGCAGATTTGATACTAAGACATGGCGACTTGCATACTTGTCTTGCAGTGCTAAGTAGCTGAATGGGCTTTGGAGAAGGTCCTTATTAACAGAGTCAATCTCTGAACCCTGTAAAGAAGAATCAGCTTTTATTTAAAAGAAAATGAGGGAGAATGTGATGTTCCACTCTCCCTGAGCTTGCTCAGCATAGATAATAGTGAAAGGAATGAAAGGGAATAAGCGTGACACTGTCATCTTTGGGCCAACCTACTATTGTGACACTTTTGTCTTACCTGTTTTGGCCTAGGGCCCTGAAAAGCTAATTTGAGAGCTGATAAGACTTTAGAGAGGACAGGCAGTGTCCTGCTGCTCCCTGGAAAAAGTGACACTGAGCTTTTCACTGGACTCTGTAACAAACAGGCTTCCTTCCATCCATCTATCTGGTGAGAAGTGGGCAGCGGTGTCTCACAGGGGTCAGTGCTTGGTCCACTGCTTTTCAACATCTTTATTAACGATTTGGATTTGGGGGTGAAGAGCTCACTGGCCAAGTTCGCAGATGACATCAAGTTATAGGGAAGCATGGTCATGCTTGAAGATAGGCTACAGATACAGGTGGACCTAGACAGGCTAACAAGTTGGGTGGATAGGAATCTGATGTGGAATCAGAAAAAATATCTGCCTTAAACTTTGACTATTTTAGTTATAAGATGACATAACCGCTTTGTGGAGAATTGCTGGCTCTGTATAGTAGAACAGATAAGAGAAAGTGTTTGTTCTTTGTAACTCCTCTGCAACTGCTTCGCTCACCGCGGCCTTGAAGATAGCAAAAAGTATGTACAACTCTGATTTGCAGGTGCAAGAAGGAGGTTTGTGAACTAACCTCGCCTCCCCCATTAGTTCCCATCCTGATTACAACAAAGAAATAATAAAGTAATATTATAGCCGCTTTTCATGCTAATTTCACTATATGATCACGTGAGTTATAAGCAACTGTTAAAAAGTATATAAGCCTCCTGATTTTGCTCTTGGGGGGGACCCCTTCCAAGTGCTTAAAAAATCCATGTCACTTCGGAATCCCCCCTACAGCTGTAGTTTCTTTTAAATAAAAGCTTCTGCTGACCTGACCCAAAAATATGCTGCGTGTGTTTCCATGACACCGATGAAGTTCAAAGTTGAGAAATGTAAAGTGCTCCACCTCGGGACGAGCAACCCCCAACACACCTACAGGCTTGGTGGCGCCAAACTGACTAGCACCACAAATGAAAGGGGCCTGGGGGTAATAATAGACAACAGTATGAATATGAGCCGGCAGTGCGATGCTGTAGCCAGGACAAATAATACTCTGGCATGCATCAATCGATACATCTCCAGCAAAGCCAAGGAGGTGATTCTTCCACTCTACTCAGCACTGGTGAGACTGCAGCTGGAGTACTGCACCCAGTTCTGGGCACCACACTTTAACAAGGGCGTGGACAAGCTTGTGAGAGTCCAAAGAAGAGCTACCTGTATGATCAGAGTCTTACATGGCAAGCCATATGAGGAAAGGCTGTGGGATCTGGGACTCTTCAGCCTGAGGAAAAGAAGGCTGAGAGGGGACCTGGTAGCAGCTTACCGCTACACTAGGGGAGTGCATCAAGGGCTCGGTGAGCACTGTTCACCAGGGCACCCGAGGGGAAAACCAGGAGTAATGGCCACAAACTCCCGGAAGATCAATTCAGGCTCAACATTAGGAAAAACTTCTTGAGTCAGAGTGTGCAGACTGTGGAATAAGCTCCCTCCAGAGGTGGTGCAATCGCCTACCCTGGAAATCTTTAAGAGGAGGCTAGACAGTCACCTTGCTGGGGTCACCTGACCCCCAGTTATCTTTCCTGCTTGGTGCAGGGGGCTGGACCTGATGATCTTCCAAGGTCCCTTCCAGCCTTACAATCTATGAATCCATCCATCCAATTTTTTCCTGCCTTTCCCAGCAGAGGCTTAGGACATCTTACAGCAAGAAAACAGAATAACTTAAAAACAGGAACGTCACAAGATGACAACAACAACCACAACAAACTTGGAAGGGAACTAGAATATCAAGATAAAACAGAGATCCTCCTAAACAACAACTCAACCTAGATTTGTTCGGTAAATGCCTGGCCAAATCAGAAGGTCTTATAGTGCTTCTGAAACATGTCCAGGCTTGGGCTTTGGCAGGCCTCAAGGGGGAGGGAGTTCCAGGGCTGAGGAGCAACTGCAGAGAACAAGCTCCCATGTGTTTTCACCAAGTAGGCTTGGCATACTGATGGTACTTGTAGGAGGTTGCTTTCAGCTGACCTAAGGGATCATAATAAGGCATGAGAGAGAAGTTAGTCATCACTTAGGTAGATAGGGCCCAAACTGTTTAAGGCATTGTAGGTCAAAACCAGCACCTTGACTTATGCTTGAAAAGCTATTGGGAGCTAGAACAGACTCTGGAGCATTAGAGTCACACGTTCTTGGTCACCCCCCCCGGTCAGCTGAGCTGCTGTATTCTGCACCAGCTGCATCTTCCAGACCATTTTCAAGGGCAGCCCTATGTGGACTACACTGCAGTAGTCTATCCTAGATGTTAAAAAGCCATGGGTGATGGTGGTCAGATAGTGACCAGCAGATTACACTGCTGGAATGGGTCAAAACAGACTACGTCAGGATGGAAAAAGCAGCCCGAAATCTCTACCTCTTTCACAGACAGCCTTGGAAATGAAAAATCTCTAAAACAAAAAAGATGCAGGCATATTACTCAGATGAAAAGCAATATTCCCTTGGCTTTGTTTCTGAATGAAATGGTGTGGGTGCCTACCTTCAGGAGAGGATGGTAGATTTTAAGTGGAGCACTGAGTAAGGCACCTACACAGCAGAAAGCAGTAGGAGTTCAGAGACAGCTGGTGGTACCTTATGTGCTAACTTTAGGCGGCTGCAGGGTAAGCTAAGCACATTGACAGGAAATGACTCACTGCTTGATATACCAGCTACTGAACTCCCATTTGGGGGAGTCTGACTCTTCCCATGCAGTATATGAGGAAACTAAGCACTTAACCACAAGGGTTTGGACTCCATGCTGGGCCCAGGTGCCTAAAACTTAGCCAGGACAACACCAAGCATTGGAAGAGTAAAATCCCTTATGGTCTCCTGTTCTCAGTCTCTCTGCAGTTCAGCTTTCTGCCTGTGACATAAGGATAATGAATGAAACTGAACCTCAGAGCTGTTGGGAGATACTGTCAAGTAATCAAACATGAAAATCCTTTACCAAAAGGGGAATAGGAAAAAGAATTAATTTTGTTATTGAAAAAGATAATAATAACTATGTGATTGTTATGTGCAGTTTTTTACCCACTGATCTCAAAGCACTTGACTTTAAATTCAATAACTTTGATATATTGAAAGAAATAGATTTAAGAAGGGAAGGGGATTCAAAGTTGCAAGTAGGAGTTAATAGAGGAATAGAAATGCAGAACACAGCCTCAGAGAATAAAAAGATTAAAGAAACTAATACCCTTCCTGGATATTGCCAATACGAGCAGAGAACCAGAAAGCTGAAATCTGGAAGACCATTGGAGAAAGGTCCAATAAAAATAAGAGGATTGCCTTCCTCCAATGGAAATCCAGTTGACTTCTAAACCCACTGTGGTGGACATCAACATTTGCTATGCTCATGTGAACATCCTCTTTTCTCCTGCAGAGGATTGGGATTTAAAAGCTAAACCCATAAAAATTAATTTTAAAAAAGCTCTACAGAATGTATAAGTGCCAGTGGAGAATGGCCTGGCTCTCCCCAATCCTAGAGTGATTTGAATTAAGTAGGGTCAGGCTTATTTCAAGGACAGCACTTGCTTTCTCTATTTTAAAAGAAGTAACTGCACGTTCCCATGCCAACTACCTTTTCATTTTTAACTAAGACAGGCCATGTGCATGATTTTCTCTTTGCAAGTCGAAGGACATGGACTTCCAGTTGTAGCTATAAGCTAAAGGACAAATGTATAGAATGACTAGAAAAAGATACTTAAGTCTATGGAATCAAAACACCAAAAAACAAAAAACAACCCCTGCCCCACAACTCACCCCCAAACAAAACCAGTCCTAAGGATGAATACTGCTATAATCTTGAGCTAACCTACATATGGCAAGTATTTCTTTGGTCGCGTAGCTATAGTATGTGTGCTCTTCATGATCTTTAGTATATTTGTACATGCCCCTAGTGGCATAGTGATGTGGCCAGGTCCCTAGGGCAGCAGTGACTTCTGATTGCTGCTGCACCACTGGTGCAATCACAAAAAGTCAGTGCCTGTGGCAGTTGCTCCTGTCACCCTGCCCTAGTTGTGCCACTGCTTGCTCCTTTCCTGTGAGGGAAGATAGTGCTGTCATCCAGAGCCATCCCTTGGGGGGGGGCAGATCAGGGTGATTGCCCCAGGCCCTGTACTTTGGGGGGCTCCATAGACAGTGCCGTAGAGGCCCTGCGGACAGCACCATTGGCACGTGCCAAGGGCAGCACCACTCCACGCAGCCACCAGTTCCATGCTCCAGTCACTCACCTTCCCCCCGCTCCTCCTCACTCTGGCTGCTCGCCACCCCTGCCCCCCACCCAAACGGTTGATATGCCCCAGGCCCCGCACGCCCCTAGGGTCAGCTCTGCTGTTATCCCAGCTGTATAAATGGAAAACGGAGGCACGGGGACAGCATCAGTTAACATATTGGTGGCCCTAGACTTCAGGAGGGCCAACTTCAGTGAGATGAGGAGATTAGTGGGAGAGGAACTGGGGTCCTTG